GGGGGAACGGTTTCATGAACTGTTCCCCTCCCTCCTCCCCCCCCCTTCCTCTCTCTCTCTCTCTCTCTCTCTCTCTCTCCAACTAACTACCGAAGCAACTGCCGCATGCCTGCAAAATGCTGCGCGCCCAGCAACTAGCGCACGCGCACTAACTACCACGGTAGTTAGCACAAGAAGAAGAAGAGAAGAAAGAAGAAGAAGAAGAAGAAGAAGAAGAAGAAGAAGAAGAAGAAGAAGAAGAAACTACTAACTTACCGGTGGCTCTTAGGGATGGTGGCGACGACGACAACAGGCTCGATGGGCTGGAGGCGACGGGGAGGGCGAGCCGGCAGTTCGACTGTCAAAGGTCGAATGGGCAGGGGAGGGAACGGGTGGCAGGTTGGGGCCAGGAGGAGGGAAGAGGTGGGGTAGGGTTGATACTCCCACCCAAAAACTTCGAAAATGGTGGCCTGTCTGGGCCGTTGATCTCTCCAGATCAACGGTCCAGAAAGGCCGCCCTGTTCAAATCCTTTGGGTGGGCCTACCGGACCCGGTTCAATTTTTTTGGACCAGTCAACCTTCACATAGGCCGTCAAGGCCTCCTGGCCCAAAAGAAAATCGAACCGACCCCCCATGTTCGTTGCTCTATGGCCCACCAGGGGGAGCCGGCTGGTTCCGGTCGGGGGTGGGGTCCCGGGTCCTACTGTTGTTTTTCTCGTTTTTTGGTTACTTCATTCGACTTCATTGTATTACTTACTATTAATGCAGTTCCACTAGGAATTTGAACTCGGGTGAGTCGGGTCTGTATTTCAACATTTCATGGGTGAGCCAGGCGCGTTGGTGAGCACATATTATTGGCTTTACAATCTACAAGATCGTCACAGTCATTCTACTTCTGGCTTGTGCTATTCAGGGCAAAGATGGCTCTGTGATATGGGAGTGGGACAAGAGGGCATTCACGAAGCCAGAGCTACCTCCTTACATCTCAGATCCTCCAGCAGAGGTATGATTTCACAAGTTTTCTTGCCTGCATCTTTTGGATGAAGGTTTTGCACATTCAGCATCGTTGCGACCTGGCATGTGCAAAACCATACTGTGAAAACAAAATTGCCACGTGAACAGGGAAAAAAAATTAAAAGGGATGGGTGATGTGTCATTGAACCTTACCACTGAGAGGAAGGAGACAAGGTTTCCGTAGGTGAACCTGTGAAAGGATCATTAAACAAAAAAAGAAAAAGAAAGAGAATGATGGGTGCTGTGATCCCTCCTCCTCCCTTGCACTATGTTCTGCAAGCCCGAAGAATTTGGCGTTCTACAGGATTTGAACCTGTGACCTCGTCCTCTGTGTACTCTTGTCCACGCTATGTTATGCCAAAAGTGTCCTCGAGAATGCTGATTGGTTATGAAAAGGCTCTTTTATTCAAAATTTATGATTGATAATCTGAAAGGCATTCCATGATGCAGACCCCAAATTTGAATCTCACGGTCAAGATCACAGGCTAAAGGAGGCCGAGTTGGCCAGTTTCAGAAAGGCTAAGTCGAGTGCCCCAGAGGTCAAGTCCAACAAGCACCCGGTCAACAGTCACATCGCAGAGGCAAAGGTTGCATTCCATAAGCAGAAGTCACGTCTCACGGTGAAAGGTCACATCCCACAGGCAAAGGAAACTTGCCCAGGCAAAAGTCATGTCCCACAGGCAACAGTCACATCTTGAAGTCAAAAGGCATTGTCTACAGGCAAAGGTCATGTCTCATGGGTAGAGAGTCACATCCCACAAATGAAAAGTCGTGACTCACAGGCCCAAGCAGCAGCACACCAAGGGAAATTTGGGGAGGTACCAGGCCTCGACATTCTGTAACAGACAGGCTCTGGGCATGTGGTACCGGGTCCAAGTCAAGCCAAAGGAAGCAGAGGCTGGACGAGTCCAGGCTCAGTCCAAGTCAATATAAGGACTGGCCAGCCACATTTCGGACAGATTGGTCATTCGCACAAAGTGTGGAAGCGCTGCTGGCACTTGTGCGCTATCTGCGGGTAGCTAGCGCTGGAGCCCACGAGGGGCAGCGCTGTGCTGTGAGAGGGAAGGCGGCTATAGCCGCACAGCTAGTAGTAGGGGATAGAGCTGAGTAGCAGGGGATGTATTCAGAGTCAAGATCTTCAAGTCGAGAGAATGAGAGGGGGAGGTTGAGCGCATCATGAGGAGGACAGAGAGAGGGAAGAGGGACAGATAGGAGGGAGGGTCAACTACCTGGATGAGGATGCCGGATATGGGTTGTTGAACTCTGCGCTGTTGAGCGCCTGGTGACTGTAACTCTGAAACTGTTTAATATGATAATTTGTTGGAATTCCTAAGCTGCGCTATTCTGGACTTTGCATCTCTGGTCTCCGGTGTGGATTTGGTGTGATCTCTCAATGTCTGTGTGTACTCAAGGTGATGAGCAGTGAGGCTCAATGCAGTTGGTATTGGAGCGAAGACTCGCTGCATCCGCTGTTGTTGATCGCTGGCAAGATTGAGGCCGGCGAGACAAGATTTGGAATGGGGTTGAAGGCCAAAAAGGAAGTGGCCAAAGAAGGGGGGAGGTTGAGTACGTACCTGTATGAGTGGAGCGCCGAGGAGCTTCATCAAAGGAACGTTCACAAGTGAAGTGCATCCCCCCCTTAAGCCCGGCATTTGCTTTAATGAATGATGAGTGTCACGGTACCTTCCCACATCTTGGTGTCGCTGCTGCTGGACAAAACACTTGGTGACATATCTGATTTTGTCTTGAGTCAGCATCTGGTCAGACACATGTGCATGAAGTAGGTTGTGTGTAGGATAGAGGCTCAGCAGCTGGATGTATTACCCCAAAAGTAGGGAGCATGGGCATGAGCGGCGAGCGCTGACCGGCATGCGACCGAAACGGTGTTGACGCAGCGAGGAGCTGTAAGTCCTGAGAGCGAACCTTCAGATCCTGGTGGGCACAACGTCCTGTCTGCGTCGTTAAAGAATTTCTGAGGTCCTTGCTGGTTGACGTTAAGCTGCTGGTTGCCCACTAGCCCGACAGGGTAGCTGTAGTGACACTGTGGGGAGGGTAACACTCAGATAGGTCAGACTCCAATCTAGATTAGATAGTTCAAGTGTTGAGGGTGAGGTCTACGTGTTGAGGAGGTAGAGGCTACTTACCTGTGCCTTTAGCAACCATGGATGAGTACCCGATGTTCGCAATGTTGACCCTGTCCGTGCTATGGGTTCCACTTCTCCGTTTCCTGTTTCCTTTAAGATTCCATCTGGCTTATCGCATGAGTGTTACCATGTGGTCTGGTGGGTTCACGCATCCATACACGGTAGAACAACACGCCGAAATTGACAGGAAGTCTCCTAAGAAGAAGAAAGAGACGAAGGAGAAAAAGAGAAGGAAAGAGGAGGAGATAAAAGAAAATTTTGAGCAGGAAAGGAAGAAGATGGAGGAGGAGAAAGAAAAGACGGAGAAGGAGATAAAGAAGAAGGAAGAAGCATTGAAAGGAGAGTTGGAAGAAGAAGAGGAGGAAGAAGAAGGAAAAAAGAGGATTAGAGCGGAGGAGTAGACAAGAAGGGGAGGAACTGGTTGAGAGCAGTTATGCCAGTGAATTGAGACTTCGGCAGGTTGGAGATATAGACTGGGTTGCAAAATCCGGGTTTCGCACAGAGATGCCAGATGAGACAGAGCAAGAAAAAAAAACATTCACCATAAAAATGGCATCCGCAACAGATAATGAGGAAAGGTTTATATTGTTGGAGGAGAGAAGGAGCACCCTTGACCAGCATTGGGAACAGGTAAGGAAGGATTATGAAGAGAAAAAAATATCGAAAGAAAGGCTCCACACCATGTTGACATAATAGAAAGGGAAAAAAAATTGAAGTCAAGGAAAGTTTGAGCCTCCTTACTGACACACTGTTGCACACCACCCAACAACTGGAAAGATCCGTTGGGAAGGTAGAAAAGCATCAGAAAGAGTTTCAGGGCACATGGAACAACTTCCTTACCGCTTCCTCCAACATGGTAGACAAGAGGATCCTTGACTACGCCCGTCAACTAGATGGACCTTACACCCAGAAACTGAAGAACACCATCGCGCCCATAGCCTTAGGAGGCAGCGATGGTGGGGGTGATGGTGAAGATGATGGCAATGATAAGAAAGGAAAGGGTCCCATGAAGGATGGAGGAAAGAAAGGTGGAGAAGACAAGTCTGAGGGAGGAGAATGAAGGATAAAAATGAAGGTTAAGGTCCCTTGGACATACATTGGGAAGAGGGAGGAGAGCATTTTTCACTGGGAGGCGGCGATGGATACATACTTGTACGCGCAATTGATTCCGTATTGGAAGCCGCGTACTTATGGCAAGTTTGTGCTTAGGGGGAGACGCAGCAAGCGTCGCTATCTCGCTAGTGAAAGAGGTCGGATGCACCTCAATGGTGCCATACTCATAGCGCACTATGATGGAGGACTTCTTTAAGGCCTTGAAAGACCACTTTGAAGACAAGGAACTTAGCGAGTCGAACTGAGCACCTCATCCTTCACATAAGTGACCGCAGAGTTGTTGTTATCCTCGTCTAATCCGTATTCTATCTGGTCGTATGATAACTACTCTACGCCTCCTTCTTAAAAGCTGACCAGCAGGTTATCCTTTCCCTCTACGCTGCCAGATATAGTTTTATTCTTCCACCTCTTACCGGCCTGCAGGTCCTTCCAATAATGACAATAGTTTGCCTCCTACAGGAACCCGACATGGTCTATAGCTATCTTGCTAAAAAATTTATACGTCATCCCCTCCTCTTGAGTACGGGGATATAACGGGGTCTTGAGGGGCTCCGACAACGCTCAAGCGAAGTTATTAAGAATCTGAGCGGGGGTTAGTCCATGGTCCGGACATTGCAGCAACTCGTCCATAGTGGCCTTGAGTGTGGACGCACATTTCCACCTGCGGTCACTTATGTTAAGAATGAGGTGCTCAGTTTGACTCGCTAAGTTCTTGTCTTGAAAGCGGTCTTTCAAAACTTTAAGGAAGTCCTCAATCCTAGTGCGCTGTGAGTATTGCACCGTCGAGGTGCATCCGACCTCTTTCACTAGCGAGATCACGACGCTTGCTGCATCTCCCCCTAGGCACAAACTTGCTATAAGTACGCGGTCCCAATACGGAATCAACTGCGCGTAAAAGTATGTATCTTAATGGACGAGCTGCTGCAATGTCCGGATCATGGACTAACCCCTGCTCAGATCCTTAATAACTTCGCTAGGGCATTGTCGGAGCCCCTCAAGACCCAATTATATCCCCGTACTAAAGAGGAGGGGATGCCTTATGAAAAGTTTAGCAAGATAGGTATCGACCATGCCGAGTTCATGTAGAAGGCAAACTATTGTCACTATTGGAAGGACCTGCAGGCCGGTAAGAGGTGGAAGAATAGAACTGTATCTGGCAGCATAGAGGGGAAGGATAACCTGCTGGTCACCTTCTAAGAAGGAGGCGTAGAGTCGTTATCATACGATCAGATAAACTACGCATTAGACGAGGATAACAAATACCAAGTAACCCAGGGAGGGGACTATGCGGCAATTGCAGCCCGTGGGGGAGGGTAGCAAGGTAGAGGCCGAGGTAGAGGAGGTCGAGGACGAGGTGGAGGTCAAGGACCCGCTGCCCAGAGGGTTAGTAGCGAAGGTAGCTACTAAATGAGAGGTAGGGGTTATGCTCCCTCGCAAGGTGGTAAAGGTTCTCCCTTCATAGGGGATAGAGGAAGAGGTAGGAATCGGTGACCGTACCCAGTATGGGAAGACGGTCGCAAGGCCCACCAATGTTTTAAGTGTAGTGACCCCGACCACATAGTTCCCTTCTGTCTAGAGTACATGTACCCAAAATGGAACAGCCAGTAAAGGTTGCAATTGCCTCTACGGGGACTTCAGACTCAGACAAGAAGATAGAAGCGCGCGCTGAAAAGGCACCCTCTTGTCCGAAAATCCCGATGGTAAAGGTTGTTGTAGGCCCCCACCTAGCTAG